ATTCATCTACTGAAGGACATCTGAATTAGTTACACAGTTTAGCTTTTATGAATTGTGCTGCTATAAACATTGATGTGGCTGTGTCCCTGTAGATGCTGTTTTTAATTCCTTTGGGTATACACCAAAGAGTGGGATAGCTGGGTCAGATAAAGTTTCCATTCCCAGTTTTCCAAGGTATCTCCATACTGCTTTCTAGATTGGCTGCACCAATTTGCAGTCCCACCAGCAATGTATTAGTTTGCCTTTTCCCCCACATCCTCATCAACACTTATTGTTGTTTGTCTTTATAATAGCTGCCATTCTGACTGGAGTGAAACGAAATCTTAGAGTAGTGTAAGAAATAATAGTAATAATAATAATAATAACGATAATAAAGGGTGACACAGAGACAATGAGTAAAGGCAGGAAAGTGGCAGATTGACTGAGAGGCCAGATGCTAAGCTTTATTTATATCAACAGGTTACATTAGGTCATTAGTACCTTAACTACATTATTGTTTAGGATATCAATAAGGTTGCTTATTTTACAGCTACATTTCACAGTTATATTATGCAATGTTAGGTTTATACAGTTCTCAAGAAAGTTCATTGTCTGAAGTTACTGTTAGGCAGGCAGATCCAAGAGCTCCAGGGCTTGGTGAGACATTGTAATTACCAAACAAGCAAGTTCCTTTTTTTCCAGAAGTTATGTGCCTAAGATCAAGGTCAAAACCCTCTTAAAGAACACTGCTATACAGCAGCCAGGCATCCTGTGTCTTTTATATGGAAGTTCCCCAGCAGCCAGACATTCTGTACCTTTGGCACAGAAACTTCCTAGCCAGCAATGCCACAATCACAAAGTTCATCAGAAAACACATTTTAAATATAAGGCTAGGCAAGTTAGAGATCCAGCAGAAGTTAAATGGTACATAAAATTGGTATAACCATTTTTTTTAAATGAACACAATCCCTTTATTTTCATTTATTTATTTTTATGTGGTGCTGAGGATAGAATGCATTTAACAAAATTTCTCAGTTCACTTCCTTCTTAAAGTCTTTCTTTTAATTTACCCACATTAGAGTTCAGTCTTTGTAAAAAGAATTCCATGGTTTTGAACAATAGCAGGCATCCATTTTATGCGTTCAGTAAAGTCTCTTCACCTTAAAAGTGACCTTGGTATTGTTTGGTTTGCTGTTGTTGTTTCTGTTTTTTTTTTTTTTTTTTTTGTTGTTGTTGTTCATTTGTTTATGAGACCATCTTGCTGTGTTGCCCACCCTGGTCTCACACTTGTGGGCTTATTGTCCTGTCTCAGCTTCCTGAGCAGTTGGGACAGGAGGCACAGTGTGCCAGGCCACATCCACTTGTTACCCAAGGGCTGCTCTTTTGTCTAATCCTGAAAAACAGTCCTATGAGGTCTGGTCTCTATTGTCTCCTCAGGAATGGGATTTAAATGGAATGAAAGAAGTATCCTTTGCATCCTGATTTCTTTTATTTAGTAAAATTCATTTAAGTTTCATTTCCATTGTTGAGCTAATGAAAAGGCTATTATTTTTGTTTAATGGAAATTTTATAAAAGTATATTTTCTTCTCTATAAATTTGCAAAAGAATGTGTGTATTCCTTCCAGTGTACAGTGATAGTGAAGGAAGCTGCTGTCCACACTTGCATATGTACAAGTTGTCCACCTCATGCTTTGCTGCTTTGTCAATGAGGCTTCTTTTAAAATAGACAGGTTTTCTTTTCCTCTTTTTTCTTTCATCCTCTGCAACCTGTCAGGGGGGAACAAGATCATCTTTACCTATCCTAGACCAGACACCTTTGAGCACATACCCACCACAGCAACCAAGGAATTAGACTTCAGGGATGGCACCAAAAGACCTAAGGAACTGATGCCTCCCAAATTAACAAGTGAATTAAATTCCTATAGAGGGACTTCTTGACATGCAGCCTTTGAAAGGCTTTTTAAAAAACCTTGCCCTGCTGGGCACAGTGGCTCATGCCTGTAATCCCCTTGTCTCAGGAGGCTGAGGCAGGAGGATCAAGAGTTCAAAGTCAGCCTCAGCCAAAGTGAGGCCCTAAGCAACTCAGTGAAACCCTGTCTCTAAATAAAATATAAAACAAGGCTAGGGATGGGGATCAGTGGTCAAGGGCTCCTGAGTCCAGTTCCCCATTCCCCCCCAAAACAAAACAACAACAAAAAAAAAAAAAAAAAAAAAAAACTCTGTTCCCTGTGATGAGCAGAATCACATCCTCTGGGACTGGAGCCCCCTGTGCTTCTTCATTGATAGCAAAGCAATAATGTACCTGCTTTTCCTTTTTGTCAAAACCATGTCATTCTTGTTCAATTGGCATGAGGGACAAGGTGCAGCCTTCAGTAACATACACCATTTCTGTGGGCATCAGTTTACAAATAATGTGGGTAGAATTTGGAAGTGTGATTCATGGATCATATGGCAACTTTATTATGGGAAAAGAAAACCACAGCACTCCTGCCCAGAGACTGTGTGTGGCATCCTAGCAACAATAAAGTGTTCTTACTGTGGTATCCCACCAAGCAGTATTTGTTACTATTGTTTTGTGTGAGTGTGTGCCATTCTGAGTGCTTATTGGGATCTTGTAGTTTTATTTTATTTTCCAGAGACATATATTGTTGAGCATCTTTTCAGACACCTTCCTGCTGTCTCTAGAGCTTATTTTGTGAAGGGTCTTTTCATGTTTCATTTCTTCTTCTCCATTTGTCATTTTCTGCAAGTCCTGTGGCACAGAAGACCATCATTTTAATTTGTTGGACATGTTTGTTAACTAAGGCATTAGTTATTGTGCATTTTGAATATTTTATTATTTAGGAGATATACATGCGCAGCATTTTCACAAGTTACCTGAACCAGTCCTCAATTTTCAGTTGCTTCTTAGGTCATAATTTTAAAGCCAAAATTACCAGATAGGAATAATGACAATATGAGACAGTAAAATATAACACTGCAACATTTCCTACAGTTCATCTTTTGAAATATTCAGAGGCATAAAATACATCTATTTAGAAAAACAATTCTGATTTTTTTCCTTTTTTCTGATTAAAACAATATTTCAAATCCATAATTTCCATGACACGTTATCAAGGCCAGTAATTTTCCCTGTGTTTCTCTACAATTTGTATTTGACATTTTGACTTCATGTAAAACATGTTACTCAGAAAATAAAGAAACTGTTGCCACCTAAGGCAGCATACCCTTGAAAGACTGCAGAACACAGAGTGCTGCTTAACTGAATTCATAACAAGAGCTCCTCTTCCTCTATCTTTGGATAAATTTCAAGGTGGTGCATACCTGTAATCCCAGCTACGTGGGAGGTTGAGGCAAGAGAACTACAATTTTGAGGCCAGTCTAGTTTTGCAAGGTACTAAGCAACTTGTTTCAAAATAAAAAAATAAAAATGCCTGGGGATGTGGCTCAGTGGTTAATCACTGCTGGGTTCAATCCTTGGCCAAAACAAATAAAAAATGAAAAAAGATTTGTGGTCTGTTGTTATGGCTCAGTGGTAGAGCATTTGCCTAGCACATGTGAGGCACTGAGTTTGATCCTCAGCACTACATAAAAGTAAATAAATGAAATAAAGAAAATGTCTCCATATACAACTAAAAATATTAAGAAAGATAAAGTTTTGGATCTGATTCACTAAAATGCCATAAAGGTGTTAGAATATTCTAAAAAATATATTTTGGCATCTTTAGAATCACAGCATGTAAAATTCTTTTTATTTTAGAGAATTTTTTCACAGTAGTTTGTAAGGTTACTGAAAACCTCATTTTAAAAACATATTTTTACATATGTATTTTTATGGAGTACAATATGGTAAGTCAGTATATGTATATAAATTGTAGTAATCAGATCATAGTAACAAGGATTTTAATCTTTTCAGCTGATAATGGTTTTTAATATTGGGAATTTCATTTTAAAACACAATTTAGGTTGTTTTAAATAATAGTTCCGCTCCTGGGTCAGAGAAGTACCAGAAGTGATTCCTCCATTCTGTTTTTGGTGCCCCTCACTGAACTCATTCCATGTGTCTTTTGCCTGCTCTTCCCATTCCATGTTGACCACCATTCCATTCTGTTCTACTAGATTTGCTTACTGTTTTCTACAAAAAAGTGGGAACATGTGCTGCTTGTCCTTCAGAACTAGGCATGTTTCTCTTAACATAAAGAAAGTCAAGGGCCATTTTTTGTTATGGTAAGATGCACGTAACAAGAAATTTACCACTTTATCCTGTTTTTTGTTAATTCCAACAGCTTTGTTTTATTTGTTTGTTTTGCATTTACATGACAGTTGGTAGTATTTTGACATATTATACATACCTGGGTTGCAACCTAAAACAATTTTGATCCCATTCTCTGGTTGAATATTTTGATCCTTTCTAAGAGTGCAGATCAGATTTATTCCCTCAAGAATTTATTTATTTTTGTTTCCAGCTGAATAATATTCCATGATATGCCAAGGACATGTTTTGCTTTTACATTCATATGCTTTTGGGCATTGAGGCATTTCTGATGTGGGCTACCATTAATAATGCTACTTTGAGCACTAGTGTACATACAGTAACTTGAGTCCTTACATTCAGTTCTTTTTAAAAGATCAATAAGAGGAGAATTGATGAATCAGGGGTAATTTGTGACAATAGATATGTCAATATTTATTGGGAAGAATACAGCTCACTTAAGCACTTATTAAAACCTGCTGTACACTGTCAATGTGTTTTCAATGACTCACCCAGGCCATGAAGGTCCCACTTCATAACAATCACTTGCTGACACCAAGCAGATATGTTGGGCCCTTGTGTTAACTCAAAAAGTAAAGAATTGACATTTCTATAAATTTGTTATTCACTTGTTTTAAAGTAACAGATTTAACCAAACATGCATAAATCCATATTAACTTCCTCTAGAGGGCATATATTCTAGGCTATAATTTACTGTTCACAAGCCAGTTTATTGGCATATTAGGAAAACTTATCTATCATCACTAGTTAAGTATGCACTATCTTCACCCACAAAGATTTCAAAAAGTTAATGATTTGTTTTTCAGTGCAGATCAGCAGCATAGGACTGGTTGTGGCATAGCCATTGGCCACCATCATATGGATATAATAATAAACTGGGTCATTGTTCCCCGTAGTTCTTGAGGAGGAGAAGATGCTGTCCAAACAGTACATGAACACAAATAAACTCATGAGCAGAAGGATGGTCCAGGTGGCCCTCTGCACGGGGGATGCCTTTGGAGAAAGCCTGGTGTTGTGAAGGTGCTGGATGTGCCTCCTATGCCTGCACAGGAGGGCCACCATGTACCCACTCGAGAGGGCCATTAACCCTATGAGAAAGACATCCCGGAATACACCTAATACAGAAAATAAATGCCTGAAGAAGTAACTCATTTGAACAATTTTGCAAGGTTCAGTAATAAACACAATGACATTTGAGGTCACATTGGGAATGGCATTAGAGGACAAGGAGAAGTGAGCACTGAAGGACATGTAGAAGGCCCACAGGAAAACAAGGACACACAGGGTCTGCTGTGGGGATTTATGTTTGAACTTGGCCAAGCAGGAGCTTCTGGGGCTGAGGGTGATGGCCTGGAGGACACTCAGCAGGCAGGTGGCACAAATGGAGAAGCCCCTCAGAAACCTGTGCACATAAATGACCGATTTACACTTGATGTCATCCCAAAAATCCTGAGAAAGAGCAACATCTGTAGCTATGTACCCCAAAATTGTCATCATCCCTATGTGGACTAGGGCCAAGAGACCAATGATCAGGTCAGTGGGCTTGAGCCTGTGCTGGAGGAGGAATGTGAAGATGTGGAAGAGAAGGAGGATGGAGTTGGCTGAGATCCCAAGGCCAACTTCGGAGAAAAATGCATTTCTTATGCCAATATAATCATAGAGTTTGTTGGTGATTTTCATCTTTTGAGCAATGAATCACATAGTATATATCTTAGGAGAAAATGAAGAAAAGACTTTATTTTGAATAGTATAACACCCATTAATCTCAGCCTCTCCTGTTACCATCAGGACATGTGTGGATTCACCCCAACACAGTCTTTTCTCACTTCAGCATTCAAGTCTCTCTGACACTCTCCGGGTGCCATTTTCCTGTTATTACCAAATCATGTCTGGATTGTGTAATGATTTGGGGGCTGTCATCTTTCCTGTGCATTCAGAATTATAATGTGATACTGAAAATAGTTCTAGTTTATAATATCATCTTGAAGTTTTTGGCATAGTGCCTTAATTGGTTTCTGTCTTCTCATTTCAGCCTCAAGTACATATTGAAAATTGTACAATTATCGATGCATTTAAATGGAAGGCTTGCATAATAATAGAGAATTCCAACTCTCTCAAGAAATGAATCTTGATGGAGTAGTTGTATACCTAGTTATATTATTGGAGTTTTGTCTTTAGTCTGGTTTATTATCAGACCTAATATCTTTAATACATTAACCAAGCCAACATTAAAAACTACACACTGTAAGACATGTCGTTTGAATATGCATATAATATCTACCATTTATTTCAAGTGTGATCTTGAGCAGTCTCTGATGCTTAATTCTTATCATCTCACCAATAAATATGGGCAGGCATATTACCTGAACTCAAGAGCTATTGTGTGTGCAAGAGGGTGAAGTACCAAATGTGGATGTGTTTTTAACATATAATTGACCATTATTTTTAATTATGCGATTCCTCACAGATGACTGGAAGGACATTTCAGTTTTTTAATAATAACTACCTCTGTTGCTGCCTCAAAAGAGTTCCATAATTTTGGAACATTTTCTCACTATCTGTAGAAAATTCTTTGGTGATATTTTAAGACAGTTTTTGAATCACCAGTGTACCTATATGTCTTATATACATATTATTATTATCACCAGAATAATTGTCCTAAGTGTTCCATGTCCAGTTATCAATTATTATTAGAAATATATTCTATTTTTTTCTACTCAGTCATCTGGAATCAGGGTGGTAATTAAAGTCACACTGAAAGTGATTCTGAGTCATTCCATTGTAAAGTTTTCATTAAAGTACAAGAAGTTGAACTTAGTCTGAAAGAATGACCTTTAAAAGAGTCCCATTTGTCATCTCCTAGAATTAAGAAATTTCAGTTCAGAGTCCCAGCATAAACTTGAGACAGAAAATTTGATGTTGATCTACCAATGGAATATTTCCTACACAAGGCATGTTTGTGTTTTATTTCAAGTGTCTGAAATTGTAGGTATATATTTCAAATCATTTCCAGTCATATTTTAAAAAGTAAATGTCATTAGAAAATTATGCATGTGAGGCTAAATCATTTCATGACTCTTTAGAACATGTTAATGTATAAGTCAGTATACGAAACATGGGTGCAGTGGGGCTCGACTCTAAATCCAGGGGCTTGAGAGGCTGAGAAAGGAAAATTTTAAGTTCAAAGCCAGCCTAAGCAGTGGTGAGGTGCTAAGCAACTCAGTAAGACCCTATCTCTAAATAAAATATAAAATATGGCTGGAGATGTTGCTTAGTGATTAAATTCACCTGAGTTCAATTCCCAGTACTAAGAAAAGAAAAATACTAACAAACAACAAAAGGTAAACATTCATGAACATAGGATGCCATGTATAAATCCAAGGTTATGTACATAATTGGTTAAAACTGGCATGCTCTTGTTTGTTTTAATTTTTAATTGGAATATACCCTTTGTACTTGGATATGGGGCCCAGTATTACAATTCTACATATGTATTTAGTGCTTTGGGATCATAGTGTGCCAATTTCCATCTTCCCCAAAGTTCTCATTTTTATGTTGGAAGCTTGCAAACACTTCTCTGGATACTTTAAGTTTTATAACTAACTATTAAGCACTGTAATCACCCTATTGTGCTACAAGTCCTGGGCCACTTTTCTCTCTTAGCTCTTTTTGGCACTCCACAACCACCATGTATCTCATTTTCTAATCATATATCTAGAAAGCTTTTGTCTTCCCAGCTTCTGTGTGATCAACCTTTTCAGGTTCAATGCATGAGTTTCAGCATGCAATATTCCTGGAAAATGAAAACTCTCTACTACCACTAATAAAGGACAATATTTTCCCCAAGTAATGATCAGGTAAAGTGACAAAATTTTCTGCATTCACTCATTCAGTGTTTTGGGGTTGTTCTCATAATAAGTCCAGAAGAAAGATTAGAATATAGAAATAAAATGTCCATATGTTTCCAAGCTTTTCTGAATTACATTTGATCATCAGTCCTACATTGTTTTATTTTGTGACATCAATGGATATACAAATGGCATATGCTCATTCTTATAAATTGATTTCATATAAGTCAAATATTTATGGGTATTTTTATGGTATAAGTTTAAATATATTTACATTAGCATGTGATAAATAACTTTTAAAATGTTTTAGGCCAGGGAGAGTAGTCTGAGACAGGAGATTTCCAAGTTAAAACCCAGCCACAGTAGCTTAGCAAGGCCTTAAGCAACTAAGTGAGACCCTGCCTCAAGATAAAAAAAAAATGATTGGGGTTGTGGCTCAGTGTTTAACATTAATGTGAGTTCAATTACTGGTGCAGAAAAAAATAAAATTGCCCTCTTTCAACAACAATAAAAGAGTGTATTATGAAACAAAACAAAAAAAAATTGCATTAAGTGACATACAGAATCTGCTTTAAAATTATTTAAACATTTGAACCTTGTAAAAAACAAGCATGAAAACACTCATTAAATGAAATGTTTTAATCACCTGTGTCTCAAGGCCATTGGGTGACTTTAAGTTCAGTGTTACTGAGAAATCTGCAGTCCTCCAAACAGAAATAATGAAAAGCAGGAGTGTATAGTGCCATGAGTTTGCAATCATACTCAAAAATGCATGGATTTTTTTGTTCATTGCCTTAAAACCAGTGGAAATTTGTTTTCTGAAAGTGAATTTCTGCATTAGTAACAGGAAAGATTAGACCCTTTCCTGATGTCTGCATGAAATCAAGGGACACAATTTGCTGTAATCCTAAGCACAATTATTCTCTCTCCATGTAGTTCCCAGAGAAACCCGAGAAAAATGCTTTTCTAGTCATCCTGCTGTCTCCAGTTTTGAACCACAATCATATCAGCAAATGCTGCACATCAAGTAAATATGATTAAAATTATGTAAGTATATCACAGTGGTATTGTAAAGAATGTTCTATAGTATTGTCCACACTGATGAACCATTGTTGTGGGAAAGTATCCTGGGGAATTAGAACCATTCAGAAAGGGGAGCTAAGGAAAATCCTGTGGCACCAACCTTCCCTTCTATGGTCCATCCCAATCACACCTGGCACAGCACACCTTAGGTGATCAGGGGACAGAATACAAGCTTTTTGCCATCATTGGGGTGATTGGAGAACCCCTCATCAATAAGGGTCTTAGGGTTGATGCTGCCAATTTGGTATCTTGATGCCCTCTTGTATCAGCACTAATATTGTACTTTATGCATTTGAGAAATCAAGCTGCCCCCAGACTTGACATTCTCTGGGGAAGGATGTATAAATCACAGTGACTATAACTTGAATTTCTGAAATAGGTCACCCTTGATGAATCCACATCTGGTAAGAGGAAGGAAAATCTAAGTAAGTAGATGAGTAGAACACATTACACATTTTTTAAAAAGAAATGTCTACAAATTACAGAACTTTCATTTGTTAGTGCTCATAGTAAAGACTTGGGGACCCTCATGGTGAAGACTCCCTTTAACATCTAGATCATGGAAGCAGTCCTGTTAGACAATGTGCAGTCAACAATACCATGGGTGGCTCATGATACATACATCATCATACATGTTCCCTCAAACTAGTGAGAACTGCTCAGGCGGTGGATATGAGCTAGAGGTCCGGACAGAAGTGAGAGAATTACAGGAGGAGAATACCCCTCTGCAAAACTCACTGCAAGTGTGCCTTCTTAGGACATTCCGATTCCAGGGTGAAGGAGTGAAGGGAGCACACATCTGTTCTCTCCTCTGCAGTGTGAGCATCATCCTGCCTCTCTCTCAGGGATGAGATGACAGAGAGATCCTTTTACTTACTCACCACTAAATATTGCATGAATTTTCATGATCACACAGCTCCACTTCATTGTTGCAATCTTCCCCATCCTCCCTTCTATTCATTAATGGAAAAATGGAAAAAAGGGATGAAGCAGATGAGATTAGTCCTGCTTCAAGCAATTGGGTTTGTAGCTGAGGTCAATGTAGGCAGCACTTTCTACCTGTTGCACTTCTTGTGCTGGAAATCTATGAAGAGCACATGGAGAGATGACTGGCACCTCAGGGAGGGCAAAACCATTGCCCAGCAGATGTTAGTCCTGTGAGCACATCTGCTGTGAGATACAGAGACTCTAGCAATATGATGAGCAAAACCCTGCACAAGGTTTTGGCAAATAAATGGCAGCTCTTTGTGAGAAATAGAGACGAGAATTATCAGTTGACTTGTGAATTGTCAGAATTGTAAAGGACAGCCTGGGATTCACAATTAGAGCTATGGGGTTTATATTACTCCATTTTAACTTTCACCTGAGAAAAGCCACTAGAAGTGAAAGTGTTCTTTTAAACTAAAGAAACAATAATCCCCAGAGATGCTTCTTCACAGACCCCAAGCTGTCTGTCACTACTAGAAAACCCAAGCTGTCCTGCAGAAGAGTCCTTCTCCCTGATTGATGCAGTGATGGAAGATTCAAGTCCTGCTTTCCTGCTCTACAGCTTTGGCTTTCCTGTCTGATTTTACCCTTTGAGTTTTAGTAACAAGAAAATGATATAGGTTGACATTTAGCTAGTCATGCTACAGATATGAAAAAGTGAGTTTTGGAAAAAAATCTAAAATGTAGGTACGATTATCATGGTAGGGTGGGATTTGACTGACCTAAATGTTCCTCCAAACAAAATTATATTCAAATGTTTCC